GAAAGTCTGGCTACAACGCCAACGGTCAGAGCTGCCGCATCGACCTGCACTGCCGCAACCCCTTTCCCGGCGGTGCCCTGGGCCCAGCTCTGCCCGACCTGGGCATTGACGTGACTGTGCGCACAGCCCAACCCCCGACCACCTCGCAAGCCTGCATCAAGGTGGGCGCTGCCCTTCGCCGAGCCGAAAAGGAGAAGCGCGACTACTACACCGGTTTCAACCATGGAAAAACTCTGATCGTCCCTGCGGCGATGACGACAACCGGTGGGTTCGCCTCCTCCTTTGTGGATCTGCTTGGTCAGCTCGCCCGCTTTTAAAGGTGTATGTCCAGTACAGTGTTATGTGTGTGGACAAGGCGATTGTCACAGAGGTATCCAACCAATCGAAGTGCATACGAGAACATGGATTGAAGCAAGGCGAAGGAACAAGACAGAACAAGACAGAAGGAGGGAAGTGGAACGACCGAGGTCAAGAAGGAAAATGGTACCGATCCAGGGAGATCGCTCCCATTTATAGCAGGTGGAAACACACACACAGTGGAGACAGAGAATGGACTATCACACTGAAGACAGGTGGAGGCGATATCAGCAATCTGTTGGGACCAACAGATGCCACAACAAGATGATACACCAAGATGGCACAGCAAGATGTTACACAACAAGGTGGGACAACATAATAATAAATTAGGTGTTCGAACCTCAGAGCTGAAAGCAAAGCTGTGCAACCCCGACATCAAAATCACTACGTCACGCAAAACAACACAAGAGAAAAAGTGACATTCACTGGCTTTTATCATGCCAAGAAGTACAAGCGCGAAGAATCACGCACATAGAAACAAAAATCGTACAAAACGACCAAGTATAACCAGAGATACGGCCATGTTAAACACAAGACACATAAAAAGGCAGTCACACATCACAACTACAAGCCATCACAGCACAAACACAATGAACACCACGGCACGCTCACATCCAACGAAACACAACGTCGGATTGAGAAAACAACCGACCACAGAAGACAAAGGCATCATACAAAGGACTTTACAAAAATTCAGCAAAATTACCACAAAATACAGCAAAAATTAAAGCAAAATTAAAACAAAAATACAAGTCAAGCCATCAAAAGACACAACGAGGAACCACCAAGGGAGCGACAGGTGCACACAGGGATCCCCACAGAGAGACCCCCGAGGCGGTGCCTACCTACGACGAGCGCAGGCAGACACAACATCAAGTACCAGAGGACACACAACGTGGTAAAGTATACCGTCTCAGATTGTGCCTCTAATACTCCCCTTCAAGCTGAGAACGGAAGAGCATGTCACACAAACGACGATGGCTCGGTCCATTGAGCAGCTTGGTGAGAAGGTCAGCAACCATGTCCTTGGTCCCGCAGAACTG